ATTCTAATTATAATAATTTGAACTCCTGTATTATTTAAAAAAAACATACTTGCATATATCATTAATTCTTCCTAGATAGATCGAAATTTGTCTAGGTTATACAATATAAATATCATATGATCATCACCTGATTTCAATTAAATATTATTGTAAAAAAATTAGTAACGTAATTACTAATAAAAATGATCGACATTTACCTTACCCTTAAGTTAGAAAGGTAATTAACTTAGTACAAAAAAAAGTTTTAGATATGCACACACCATATTTGAAGACTTACAATTTTTATAAGTAATTTGAGTTACTTTTTACTATGATTACTCTTTGGTTAACTAGTAGATTACCAATTAAATAATTTCAGATTTAATTAATCACACTGTTTTTTTTTATGCTTTTAATGAAGATATCTTAACAATTTTTACTCATTAATTTATAGAATTCAATATAGCTTCAATCAAAAGAGATTATTGTTAAAAAAAAAAAAAAAAAAAAAAAAAGCTAGAATTTTTATTATTGCCTAATAAAACAAAAGTAACTTTAATACAAAAATCATAATATAGATCCTGAAGTATTAATACAAAATAATTAAAATAGTAGTATTGTATAACTAAAATAATAATATAATCAAATATACTTTAACATTTAATAAAATAAATAAATTTAATTATATAAATATTCTTATATAATACTATTTATAAACTTTTGTAGCAATGCCATGGGTCAAACACTAGTATTTTTATATGGTATAGTACAAAATTGATTAGCATTTTGCAAAAATTTATATTATAGGCTGATTTCACATTAATTATATGCACCTTACTTTCTACATTTATTACACTCCTGCATCTCTGATTGGCTATCAATCACGAGCTTATTAACACATGCATTTCCTAGAAACAGTAAAAAATCATTTTTCACCGATTTAAAACATGCAATAATTATAATCTGAATATATTAAATTTAAATTTTAGCATATCCAGATTATAATTATCATATAATTTAAATCAGTAAAAATGATTTTTGCTATTTTTAGCATTTCCTAGTTTAAAATTCAGAATATTCTAAATACAAATATATATATTAATTTTTTGTAATTTCACATTATATTTTTGATTTTTATTTTTAATGAATAAAACTAATTTTTTTAGTTTCTTAGAAATTAATCATCTCTTATCTTTTTTGCTTTAGTTTTTCATTTATTGAATGTGGAGGTTGTTTAATTTTCACAACCTATTGAATCTTCTGTGTTGGTTATTAAATCTTTTCTAAAAATACAGATATACTTTATATATTTGTTATTAACAATTTTCTATTATAAAAATTTGTTGTAATTTGTTAATAAAATTAAATATCTTAAAATAAATAAGGAAATAAACTTACACAGAATCGAATAAAACAGCTTAGCATATTACTAAGTATATCAAAATTACAAGCTATTTTTGGTAATTCAAAACTAAATATCTTATAAAAGAGGTATAACTTTGAAGCTGATAGATGCATGATATAAATTTTTACTTCTAATTCTGAAATTACAAAAGAATTTAAGTTTTATACAAGAGTTATATAGTTATTATGCATTACTTACTTGATATAACAACACCATATACTTCAATCTTTTTAATATTATCTTCTTTCCCAACCTCTTTCAAAAGCTTATGAATCTTTGTTATTTGATCATGCATTATTGTTATAATATTTTGTGTATCATCTACATTTTTCTTTTATTCATCACTAAATGTATTTTTTGCATTTTTGATTACTATAATTTCTACATTCCTTTTAATAAAAAAAAGTTTAATGTCAGGAATCATACCATGCTATGTTCTCGAGTCGTTGTTTGAATTTCTATGATCCTTGTTTGTGATAAGTGTACTATTAATTAAAATAGAAAACTGTACAATAGTATCAGTTTAAAATAATTAAAAATTTTTGAATCAAAAATAATTACCTGGTTATATTGATCAAGTAATTTTTGCTACAAAATAAATTCATGATAATAGGTATATATATAATTGATGCAATGTGATTTTCTGACAATAGTTGTTGAAAATAATTTTCATTTATACTAAAGTAGCTTGTACTAAAAACAGAAAACTGTTAACACCTTTTAAAATCAGTTTATAGATTTACATAACTCTTACAATATATGGGTGATTGAAACAATAAAACTTTGGATTACTAAAGTTATATCAAATTTGAATAATTCTAATTTTTTGTATTTAAATACAAAGCTTTTTGCACAGAAATATTTAAAATATTTCTATTTCACTTAATATTGACTTCATCTCTAAATTATATAATTATCTGTATTTCTAAAGTCCTTCTTAAATATTTTTGAAATTACCTTAAACAGCCTTGTTTGATTTTTTTGAAGATCTTCAAAATTTATCACTCTCATTTTGATAGGATTGCTAAACAATCATATATATTACTATTTACTATTGTTCTGCATTATTATATATTTCTAAAATTTCTTGGTAGAAATAATAGTTTAAACCCTATTTTTATAATAATAATTATTAGATATTTCTTTTATATAATAAGTATAAAGATATATACATCATTATAGCCCAATCCAAAACATGATACATCTTCTAAAATAAAACATAATCTATCTTCTGATTCTTCTTGATTTTTGAAAGCATTGTTAATATTATTTTTAGATCTCTTACAATTTTTACCTTTAATATTACTCTCTTTTTCAGAAAATTGATCAGAATAGTTTGGTATTGCTTTTTAACTTTTAGTTCAACATTGCTTTTGTTTATAATAATCAGAGATATTTTCATTATAGCTTTGAATTGGTAGAGTAATTTCATTAGCCAAGACCTTCTCTGCCAGCAACTCACTTCTATTTTTAAAATCATATTCATTTGTAGTTATATACAAATTTAATTTATTTGCTAATAGAAACAATACAAGTTACAAAGAAAACTATAAACATTTTATTTTTTCTACTAATACTGTAAGTTTGAATACAAGTTTCAAGTTTATAATTGCACTATTATTCAGAGCACTAGTATAGCATTGAATATGTTTTATAGCTTGAATAATACCATTAATTTATATTTATTACAAACCTAATTGTAATTAGTTATTTTGTGTTTATACAGCTAACTTTGAAGTATTATCTTATAAAGCTTTAAATCTGTTTTTTTCTGTTCTATCTGATGAAAATCTATCACTTTTTTTGTATCGTACCAGATGTTATATAATTCTGCATGTTTGTCTTTAAAAAATAAAAGACCTGTTAAATAGATTCACAAAAAAAAATTTTTTTGTATCTTTCTAATAGTATACTTAGCAAACCACAATAATAGCCATCAGAGTATTTAGCTAACAGCTACCCTCCTAGTCATGGTTTAGCTAACTACCAATAACAGACTCAGAACATGTTCCTTTTATTGTTGTCTATAAGTAAAATTTCAAAAAACATATAAATTTACTATATAACTTTAAGCTAAGATCTTTTTAAATTTAACTTATTAACTTTAAATTAAATTTTTGAAGAATATAGAACAAGGAAAGAAGAAAAAATTGAGCTTAAAAATTAAATTAAAATTTTGCTAATTTTGTACAAAACGAAAATCCAACCTTTTCAAAATCAAGTATTTTCCAATTTTAAAATGATTAATATATATAAAACCATGCTCTAAACAACTTTACTTAGAAGATGAAAGTAGGTTATCTTGATAGAAAAATGAGTTAGCTATGTACTAAAGTAAAAAATTTCAGTTTTTCTATATGCAACTTTTTTTTTTTTTTTATTTAACTTTCTTTT